AGATTGCAAATAGTTGCATTGTCAATCGTTCTTGTACCATATGAATTATATAGAATATTTTAACCCTTTTACATCCATTTTATTTGGAAGAAATATTACATTAAGATTTACAGCAGAATGAAATAACCTAGCGTGGGCCGAATATGACGCTCTACCCAAGGAACGCTCTTTTGTACAAAATATCACTTGCCTTACCCCTCATTCCTTTGATTCTATCCTATGTCTGACTTGCTTTACAGCCTGTCGGCTTCACTTGCCACTATTAGCCATACTACGGGTGCATTCAGAGCCAGGTGGTGGTTGGTCGCGAAGTACGCCTAAGTTAGTTCTCAATATGCTGTCTTCAGCAGCTTTGCAGAACGCCATCACTCTCCTCCCTCAACCTCAACCAGCTTGGATTTTGGATTTCTCCGATCCCTTGTCTGTAAATAGTGTTGTGGGGACCGGGACTATCAATCAGAATGCATCAGCCGGATCCATCGACTTTTTGAGGCTTGGCTTCACTCAGGCTGGGCACAAAAATTTTGAGAGAGCCCTTACCTCAACTCTTTCTGTAAGAACTATTATTATTTTTGTTTCTTTCCTATTCGTCATTATCATTTTTAGCTTTTATCTCTTACCAATACTATTTCTTTGTTTTTCTTATTTTAGACACTTTTCTTTAATTCTTCTTGCAGGCCAAGTGCTGGTCCGTAACACGGGCTTCTGTTACCCAATCTAATTTTGCTCACTCTAGCACAAGCAGTGTGGGCGCCCTTGGTGGTGGGATTGGGGCGATAGAGCGTCAACGCGCTCAACGCACTGAGCAAGCTGATAGGTCAATCGGAGAAGCTTTTTCCGATCTTGATAATTTAATGAACCGGGCTGGAGAAATGGTGAGGTTAAGCCGCGACTTGGCAGAAAAGCTCAAACAAATTAAGGTTGGTCGGTAGGATTTGACTTATGTATATATCTTTTTACAATAAAAAAATGCATAATCAAAAAAATTCCTGGACAAACCAGATAACAGACCGTCTGAATTCTTTTAATGGACGGCTGCTCACTTTTAGAGTATCCACGACGTCTTTATCCCACGTAATTTTCAAACTTTAAATAAGGCCACGCAGTAAATTATAAAATTAGCTATTAGCTTTGCTTTGTTACATTTAATTATAGTTTTACTTTCTTTCTACCAAACATTTTAGCAAAATTTGACAATTATAGGGAAGCAAAATCCTTTAAAACTTAAATAGATCGCTGGTGTGTATAGAGAGTAACTGGCTTTTGATGAATATACTAATTTATAAACGCTTAATGTATTAATTTCATGATTCGCTAACTTATATACAATCCATGTGGAATTTTGTACTCTTTAATTTTGTTTACTATAAATCTTTCAAATTCCTTAACCAATATCACTAAATTTGGTGGGCCTGATATCATAAACAAGACAATCTTAAGTAAAATTTCAATTTTTAAGGGAAACAATAAGAGCAGATTGAAAATTATCGAGCTAATGAACATATAAACTGAGCATAATTTTTTATGTAATAAAAGTTTGTTCCTGTCTACTCGCCACGTTATGTAGTCAATATGTACTTCTACAAATAAGTGGCAAATAACAGTTCTGGCAACTATATCTAGGTGATGAAGGGCTATTAGTTAACTTTTGTCACATTCATATGAGTAGGCCTCATGATGCCATTAACTTTCACCTAGCCTCAATTCCAAAAGGGTATTATTATTCAGAGTAGACTAGTTTCGACCTCACCTGGGTCTCGTCAGCATCTACAATGGGACTCGAACTCAGGTAGTGCAACGTTTTTTTCGACAGGTTATCATTACTTGTATTTTACCTGATTGACATTCTTGCTATCAAAATCCTATGAGATAGACCATGTGTATTGAAATTCACGTCTAGCCTGTGGCTAAAAA